TATATACATATATGCAATAATTCCTACGATATTGAAGCTTACCGGAGATTCGGCTAATGGTTTATGGTATTTCAATTACGCATGCAATCACGCTGATATACTATTGTTCTAATACCTACCTATTACATCTTTCGAGTATCCCAGACATAAACCCTTGAGGAGCACATAGTCTTGAGCACGAAGAGAGAAGCTCAAGTGGCAATGAGAGATAGTGTGAGAGAAGGAAACTGAGGGTTTGAGGGGGTGAAGCATGGATGAGCTACAGGGTTGTCCCAAACCGCACGCCTCCACCGCTATTGGTACCAATTCGACCACCGTACCCGGAGCGCAGTTCCGTTGCTGGATTCGTCGCTATTGCCGGTGGCATTGTAATTGGCTGCCAAATGAGAGCCCGACCTCTCCTAAATCTTCTGAAGTTACACCATGCGGAATCGGTTACGGTGACTCCTACGGTTTGAGAAAACGTAGATCCTCGAGATATTCCTGGTGAACCGAAAAATAATGACAAATAAAACACCAGAGCAAAGTGATGATCAAAATTATGCATTTAAAATTAACGTTAAAGTTATAATTATATTGATGTCATTAAATCTATACATATATACGTTTGTTCTATTGCAAAAATATTTCTTATTGAGATATAAAAATACATGAGTGAATAATTATTTTAATGCTAATATTAAAAGATAGAATTTAAAACTTTGACTTTATTATTTAGTAGCAAAGAAGCTAATACAAACAGGCAAGAGAAATATAATAAAACTTTAAAAGAAAAATCTGTCGACATATGATGGATTCTGAGGATCATTTCAGTGTTTAAATCGAAATAATAAGTAATAAGTAAAGAAAAATAGCTATAAAGAAAAAAAAATCAGTTATTGAAAGAAATGACAACAGATCTGCGGGCAAGGCACACGAAATCGATTGAAGGCTCCAAAAAGGGAGCTTTTTCATGCATACATCCCTTGGCATACATTCATTTTTGCAGACGCGACAGTCATTAAGAGCGATGATGATTAGGCAAAGCACTGTCTGCGAAGTGAAAATGTTTTTTAACAGAGACACACACACATATAGCAATGATTGTGCAAGAATACTACCAACGAAATATGTCTTTTTTTGTATGTTTAGTGATATTGCTTTCTTTGTTCTTATTACTTATGTGTGTTATCATAATATTTATTAATTATTTAATACATATTTTTATTTTTTCATATCTATCTCTTTTAAGCATTTGTTTGTAATTTTATAATAATTTATTTACAAGTATAAAAAATATATTTTAATATTAAAATTATAATTACAATATGTTATTAGTGTGATGAATAAAATTCGATACAATATAAAACTTTCATAGCTTAGCTGGTTGACGATCACTGTTTATTTTTTAATATGATCATATTTAAAAAATCAATTAAATAGATTCAGACGTTTTGACATAAATGTGATCCTTTTCAATGAATAAACGAGTAACTATATTTATATATCAATCAATAATATAAAATTCACATATTACGGTGTAATCTTAGGCTCCGAGGTCTTTTATTCATTATATTGTCAGTATTGTGTGATATGTCTTATCAGTATTGGCGTCCTATCTCATAGTATATCGAATTATAAAATTTGTTAACTCAAATGGACAGAGAAATCACAGTTTCCAAATCTGTGATTCCAATGTTAACAGAATTTTTTGTTAGTCTCAGATTATTGTAACATTCCTTTTTGAACATTTACAAATCTTTTAATATTAAGAAATATATTTATACATAAGTACATGAAGTATATTTCTAAGTATATTTCTTAATATAGAACACTTTTACGTTTATATAATAACAGATATATTTAAGTATTCATTATGTTATCCTATCTTAAGTTAGGTCTGCTTGTTCTCGTGTGTTCCGCTTGTTCAATCCTTGAACGAATATGTCCGCCGTTTGTTGTCCTAGGCTTTGTGTATCAAATGCTGGGACAGTTTATCGTGGCAAAGAGACTAGAAGCGCGAATCTAACATTGATTTACTGTTGTGTAATCGGTTGGCACGGCGCGTCGGTAATCGAAAGCCCTTGGGGCTCGTATATACAGAAATTCAATAACCATACATAAAATAAAATATAATTCTAACATAATTCTAAAAAATCACTTGCACACATTCACGCTTCTTGATCTTATATTTGTTTTCTTTATGAATGATTTCCTTCTTTGACAAATTTGTAGCTTAAATAGATTAATTAAATAATATTAAATAAATTTTATAATTAAAATAAAATTGCATTCTATACATTGTAACATACTTTTTATTGATATTTTGAATATTTATTCGTTAAAATTTAATTAAAATGTAAAGAATTAAAATGTTGATAAAAATCTTATATGTAAGCTGTTACTATAAACTATAATTTATTGCCTAATAATATTATGTAATTGCAAATTGCACATACTGTAATTAAAACTACAGATTGTATGTAAAGTATGTAAAGTATGTAAACATAAGAAAATTTTTTTATTCTTGTAAAACGTATTTTCTTGTAAAATGTTCATTTTACGACGTAATGTCTTTTAAACTAAAATGCTACTTTACTCTATCTAGACTTTCTTATCTTTTGATTCTTTTAAGCGGTTCTCCATAAAGAAATCCATAAGAATAGATTTAACCAGCGGTAAAAGCGAAAAATATCGACTTAACTTCGTATTAATTCGACAACTTGCATGACCTAATTTTTTTTTAACAAATCAGCGATTTTCCGACTAAAAATTCTCTGCATATAAAAGACAGCGTACTGCAAAGAATACATAGATTGTATCGTGACATCTAACATTTTCCAATACATCCTCTCGCTTTGATCTCTAAAAGCCGTCACATCCAAACGCCTGGTTCAATCGTTCAGAGAGGAAATGCAAGTATGACATTGTAAAAGTCACGAAGTATACGTAGGTATCGACGGGTATTGAATGAACATATGTATTGTAAATATATCTGTGGCACACTTTTTTTTCTGGTATCTCTTTGTTTCAAAAATTATTTGTGTCATTAAACCATCATCTTAGAAACTTGAAAATAATAATATAATATTGAAAAGAAACTTTTTTTTTCGCTTATAAAATAATTCTTATTTTGAAAGATCTTACAAGCGGTTTTACAATCCTTTAAAGTTAAAGAAGAAAAAAATATTACAAAATGAAGATTCTCAAGATTTACAATACAAAATTCCACACTGCTTACATAAATATATAACGAATAGTACTTGAAATAAATTGTGGCTTTATTTGAGCGTGTAGAGATTCAAATTTATTTGATAAATTGTGAACTAAAAAAGTAAAGTCGTTCGGAATAGGAAAAGAAAGATTACTAGGATTGCAACAAATAATATCGCAATTATATTGGAAATAAATAATACAAACGATATTAAAGAATTTATTATTAATAATTACGATCAGAAATGAAGGTAAAAAATGCGGATTTGTAAATGTCCTAGTTTTTTTTCACACGAAATGATGGACAAAATTGATAATATTCTTGTATGTTGGTAAATCGCGTGCAGTAGTCTGTAAACTGAGAGAGAAAAGAAGGAATGTGAAATTACACCGAAAATCATTCACTACGTTGCACCTTTCGACACGAAAAACCCTCGTGCATAACAATCATAGCGAGCACAGCGTGGCGTGGTGGCAGTTGTTTTCAATAGAAGCATCGTAATTGCAGGCAGACAAAAGAAGAAACCATGACGAGAATCCTGTCTGTCTTTCCACGAGTTTGCGGAATGCGAGACGTCGTCGACTTCGGCGGACGTATATCTCATCAGTGGTGGTATCGTCGTCGTCTTCGTGTCGTCATCGTCACCGTCGCCGTCTCGGCTGACTGAAAGGGGTTGAAAGCCGCGCCAGGGGTTGCCTGTTACATAAAGGGCGCATTCACACAATAATGCGCGTCATAACGTGTGCGTACCCTTGTGTGCGGTTACGCGCGGAAATTACACGCTCCGGGAGATGTCTACTCCAAGCTGCGAGGGCGGATTATCGAGAAGACAAGTCCGCAAACTACCTTGACTTTGGCTTTTACACGATAGTGAACGCGGAAACTGGAAAGTGTCTCGAATAAAGAGAAAGAAGACAAGTTGGGGCGCGCGAGATATTGCAAAGCTTGAACCGCGGGAGAATAATTCACGCGAAATCTAAAAATATTAGGAACATTTGATATGATTACGTGGGACAAGCTTGGCTCGCGAAAGTCGGTTCTTATGGAATAACCCTACAGAGTTCAAAGAGAGCTCTTTGTAATAACGAGAGGTCGGATTAATTCCAATTTCGCGGACATTTTTTTTTTACAGCTCCCCACGCGTGAGGGGTTAAATTAATTTCTTTCATCGTCGGCATTTTCTACTAGCATTCGTCGTTTCTCAATGCGATCGTCGTAAGAATTATTCGAATTCCATGGCACGTCTGTGATTCTTAACCCAGATCGATGTTGATGCCATGAAGAACCAATTAAATCTTTTACTCGATCTCCATTTTATCCAGTTCAAGAATTTTTAGCAATTTACATCGGATTAATGATTCTCAACGTAATTTACGATAATTAGCTATATCCATCTTAACTAGAATACATCCAAATATAATTTGCAATAATAATGCTATTTTCTAATTAAATGTTTTTAAATGTTTTTAAATGTCTTCGGATTTGTAGAAAATGTAATTTTGAGTTTACTTTTTACGTAATTATGTGTACATAATAGATTATTTTAAATTTTAATCAAGTTGTTTTGTCTTAATATATTTAATATATTTATTATTTTATGTGTATTACTTTTTATCTTTATTCTTAAATTTAAGAGTTAAAGAAGATCTTTCCAGATAACATTTACGTATGCATAAGATATCTAAAGAATGTTTTTTAGATGTCTTATGTTTAAAAGATGTCTTTTAGATATCTTATGCAACATGTATGTTATCTGGGTTCTGTTAATTATTTTTGTCAAGAAATAACTATAATCCACTAATTTTATTATTAAAACACAAAATTATTAACACAATTATCTTTATTGTACTAATAATTTTTAACAGAACATATCAAAACGTATTATTATAATTTTTTGCTTTATTAATTTTACACAATTCTATAGTTATATGCAACGTAATTAATACAGTTATTAGTCTTCCTAAGACAAAATTGATGCGCGCAAGGGAACCTTCTACGCAATTAGAGGAGTGATATTAGATCGCTGAAATTCTCATTTCGTCGATTGATCGTCGTAGTTCAGGGAAGACACATTTGGAGATCCCGGAAATCTGGAATAAAGGTGAGCAAATACAGAGGATGAAGGATAAATCGCGTTCGTTGTTAGGGCTTTCTAGAATCGCGTTCCTGCTCTTGAAGGCCTATTAGTGAATCCCTGTCGTCTGTCCGCTCGGGCATGGCACAGCCGAGCACAAAGCTTTTCAAAGCGAAGCCCAAGTAAACGTGCTGACCTGGAACTATTATTATCTGACCGGATAATTATACGCGACCTCGTATTATTACTATAATCATGTTTGGCGACATTGTTCTCTCATTCGTCATAGGGCTCTATGAGGATTACAATTTAAATTACTTGAATCCATTTTTGCATCGGAATTTCAACTAGCATATCGCAAACTGCACAATTGCGAATTATTTCCTTCTTTCTTTTTAATTTTTCTAATACACATACATTTCGCTTTTGCACTAATTGAAATGTAAGCAATAATATTAAATATGCAGTAGCATATTTAAATTATATTGTTAGATAATATTATTAAAAATAATAAACTTTTTTTATAAATTCTTTCTTAATATTATTGTATAATATTAAAAATATTTGTAATATCTTTTTATTATCAAAAACACAAATTAATATCTTAGAGATATCTATCTTCTTCTGACCTCATTTTCTTTGAAGTGATTCCATGCCCCGAGTTTTTCATTTGTTGCACTCACAGATCGATGATTCCCAAAAGAAAACCGTCGTAATAATTATTATATAGTATGGGCAATCTTAAACCCGCATCCAAAGAGATCATTTATCCACCGAGACCGAAAGCGTCTTTGTCATATCTATAAGTCGTAAGGTCAATGATCTGATGGCGTGGAGAACTAATATAAGGAATGATCGAAGAATATAAGAAGAGAAATCTTACCAGCTCTATGCTATATTTTTGGTCCGTCATCATTGTCGTTTATCTTCCTTGTAACATACTTTTTATTAGCTCCTCCGATTTTCCACTCAAGGCCATTATGTTATTGGCTAGAAGATGAAATAGTAGAAACGCTCGTTGGACTACTCGTTACATCACATTACATTCTTGAAATCTTCATATGAAGATTAGTATATAACTTCATAACAGCACATACGAATAAAATAAGTTATATAAAAAGTTAAATATTTTTATATAAATATAATATGTTTTTATTAAATTTTTTTGTGTACAAGAATATTCTGATTTGTGCGCGCGCGTGCGTGTGTGATTTTAAATGGTAATTTAATTATTTACTTTAGTTCAATAAAGAGCATAAAAAATTTCGTGGGAGAAAATAAAAAAACTTTGCAATTTTTAATTTATTTATCTTAATTTAAGTTTGATTTACATATTGTAACATTTTCTGTAAAACTGTCATAATACTTAACACATTTATTTTTACTATTTTAAAATAATATTATCATAATTATTATTATTATCTAGGTTGTTTAAAAAGCTGCAAAAAGAGATACCGTTCAGGACGTAATATATATTTATGATAACTTTTGTACATAAATCATATCAGGTGATGTATATTTGCAGGAAAATTTATCGCCAAAATAATTCGCGTAAAATACCAGCCAGCGAGAGCATAGTTAGCGGTGCTATTCGGAGCAGAAAAATATAATCAGCGATTGCTTGGCTGGGTACAGAGACAGAGGGATTTTACCAACGATTGATTTGTTTGAACTATTGGGACGATGAAGTCATCATTTATAATGGGCGATTGTTTGTTGGTCCAAAAGTCTTTTTTCTATAATCGTCCAAACAGCATTTACAAAAAGAGATCCAATTGTTATCGAGTAATTGCAAGTAAGTAAGTTTTCTCATTCTCTCAAGAAGAATTTACTATAATGAGTTCCCTTGTTCAAAAGTATTAGCAACGAGAGGTAGAATTAAGGTTTATGATAATCTTGAAAATTGTCTTCGTGTTGCCTGTTTCGCAGAGATAATTAAGAACGACCAAGATCCAAAAGAAAATTATTTAAAGAAAGACTCGATATTTCTACGTATTTTTTGAATATATCTAATAAATATAATTAAACTTGCAGTTCAATTGATATTAAATACATCTGCTGTATCATTTAAGTGAAATATAAATACAATATAAATAAATAGTAACAATAGTGTTGAGTTATTTCATCTAATTTA